CATCAGTATTTTTCTCTATATATACGTGTGTGTGTGTGTGTGTGTGTGTGTGTGTGTGTGTGTGTGTGTGTATGCATATGTATATCAGTGGTGGGTTTCAAAAAATTTTAGAACCGATTTGGTAGGTGTGGCCTCTTTTGTGGGAGTGGCTCGGTGGTCTTGTGACCAGGTGGGCATGGCCAACGTGACATCACTCATGCACACTCAGTCACATGACCCCCACCCACAAGTCATGCCCACGGTGGCAAAAAAAATTGGGACTCAGATGAAGGGAAGATGGGGGAAGTGAGGAGAAAACTCCTCAAAATAGACTGCTAAAAGATTTAGGGCCAAAATTGCATGTTGGGGAAAGCAATTGAGGTGATCGGAGAAGGCAGGACAGGGGGGAATCCAGGAGAAAACTATCACATGCTGGGAAAAGCAGTTGGATTGATCAGAGAAGACAGGACGGGGGAATCCAGGAGGAAAGTATCACGTGCTGGGGAAAGTAATTGGGGTGATCAGAGAAGGCAGGACAAGGAGGAATCCAGGAGGAAAGTACCACACACTGAGGAAAGCAATTGGGTTGATCGGAGAAGGGAGGACGAGGGAATCCAAGAGGAAAGTATCACCTGCTGGGGAAAGCAATTGGGGTGGTTGGAGAAGGCAGGACAGGGGGGAATCCAGGAGGAAAGTACCACCTCCTGGGGAGAGCAATTGGGTTCCTTTTCCCAGTATGTGGGGAAGGTTGATCGGAGAAAGAATCCAGGAGAAAAATATCACAAGCTGGGGAAAGCAGTTGGGGTAATCGGAGAAGGCAGTTTAGGGAGGAATCCAGGAGAAAACTATCACATGCTGGGAAAAGCAATTGGGGTGGTCGGAGAAGGCAGGACAAGGAGGAATCCAGGAGGAAAGTACCACCTGCTGGAGAGAGCAATTGGGTTCCTTTCCCCAGTATGTGGGGAAGGTTGATCGGAGAAAGAATCCAGGAGAAAAATATCATATGCTGGGAAAAGCAATTGGGGTGATCGGAGAAGGCAGGACAGGGAGGAATCCAGGAGAAATCTTCTGAGCTTGCCGCTGCNTAAGACTTGAGTATACTCAATACACTGGTGAATTGAACAAGTTGACACAAGTAATACAAGTGTATCTCTTTAAACATGATTAAAAATAATAATAGAATTCCATGTTAGCACAAAGAACAATGCAAATTGTAACTTGATTACTTTAACTTTATGATTTATTTAAATAACTGGTCCACTACCCTTATTAGTCTGCCCAGTATTTTGAATTGGCTAAAATAGGAAGTTTAGCCAACTCAAGCTTAGCCCTTAACCCTAATTTCAAACTAATTTTTTGCCTTCAGATTCCTAATCAATTAATAGGCAATATATCAGTTGAAAGACAATATATTGCCCAGGGTAAATTTACCTGAAAGAGACTGGCTAAACATTTAGGTTAATTTATGCTCCTAAAACATACTCTAGTCAGCATGCTTGGAAAAAGGTTGTGCAATACATAATTTAATGAAAGGGTCATATTCATGGTGAAATCATATGTAACAAATATATAGTATCATTTATTGTTCCTAATATAGCCTTTCTACATAATATATTTAGTGGAACAGAATAATCAATATTAGCGTACAGAGGATGGTATCTCTTTCCATTCTTGTGATTCCAATTAAAAATTATTTCCCTGAAGCCATTGCTAGTCCTAGAAATTAACTCCCAAAGCAAATTACTCTGAATAAGAGCAGAAGGGAATCTGCGCCAGAATCTACATGCCACATTCGTACCCTTCGTGTTCCCACCCCACAGTATTTAGAACTTTGATTAATACTCTGCTGTTTCCAAACATAATTGAGATAATATTTCTTTCCAACACATATACTTCCAGTATTATACGCTCACCAATATACACATTGAAGTGCCAGGAGCCTCAATTTCACTATAATTGGCTGTTAGTTATTCCATTGAATAGATAGCTTTTGTGTAGTAGAGGAGAGACACCAGAACTTGAAATAGAAGAGGCTTTCAATAGAGAAAAGAAGACTTGTCACTTTTATTAAACTTTGGGCAATTTATGGCTTCAACAACTCTGCATAATTTGCATGTCAAAACCCATCTAAAACCCAGCTAATTGGTGACTTAAAGGATCTTTCCCTTGAAAACAACAGATGCTGGACTATTAAATAGCAGCTCAGACCAGGGCTGATGTTTTACCACTAGTTTCAGAACTGCTTTGATGGCTGCTTCTTTTCATTTCCAGCTGGATATATGTGCACCAAATAAAAACCATCAGCATTATTTGGCACCTGTCTGGTTGCTAACCACTAACTGCAAAAGATGGGCAAGGATTGCAAGGGCTTAGAATGAACTGTATTTTTTCTCCAGAGGTGATCATGAAACACAGGTTGTTGGGGTCTTTTTTGCTTTTAATTCCTGTTCTTTATCTTCAACTTAAATGGGACTGCTTTGATTTTTTGGGCATGGATCTTTCTTATCCTAGATTCATTCACTGCATTTGGATATTCCATTGATTATATTAGAAATCGCAATCTTAACAAAGGGTAGTTCATCTAAATGACACGCAGACTGCTCATTTCAGACAGAGAAATCCAACATTTTAAGATGCATAAAAGGGAGATAGTTTGCATTTTCAGGACAGTGTGGAAGTATTCCAACATATTTGCAGTCCTGTCATGTCCCTGTAAGTACCAGCTGAATCAATAGTGCACATCTACATGCATCCAACTTTAAGGTTTTATCTCCTTGTTTTGAAATAACTATTTATATCTCTTCCAAGCTATTCCCCAAGTAGTCTTCCAGAGCAAAACCTCAATTTTGGTTTGGTAATTCTGTGTGTTTATTTATGTGAAGCAGAAGAAGGAAAGGGGTGTTATTGTCACATATCTGAAGGCATTTCCCCCTTTTAATAATTAAAGTAAATTACTGGCACATATTGCATTAATGCTTACATTAATACTTACAAAGATTTAAAGCAAAAATAATAGCGAATCCATCAGTATTTTTTCTCTATATATACGTGTGTGTGTGTGTGTGTGTGTGTGTGTGTGTGTGTGTGTGTGTATGCATATGTATATCAGTGGTGGGTTTCAAAAAATTTTAGAACCGAT